TTTTGTTCAAGAAGATTTGAATAAAACCCCTGAATTATCTTTTATGGAAAAGGAAATACATGTTGGAAAAAGATATATCTCTTTAAGAAAAAGAGATATCTCTTATTGAGAAAATATGTCTCCAAAAGAGATATCTCCTTAGGGAAAAGAGATATATCTTAATGACTAAACGATATATCTTTTACATGTATTACTATCTGTTTTCCTACATCATCGTTCGTCGTCCTTCATGCACAGTGAGTTTTCAGCTTCTTCTTTAGAACCGCTGAACCAACTTCAAAAACTTATGTTTGCAAATGGCATTTCTGGGTAAAGGGGAACGAAAGATTTGAATTTGGTCCCTGTCCCCCTGGGGCTCGAGGGGTGGGGCTAAAGCCATCAAAATTAATGCAAACTTTGAAAATCTTCTTCTTTACTCCTGGACATCAAGGAGTCAAACGGTAAGCATGATTGAAATAAACAGTGAGCCTTCTATTAAAATATGAAAACCATGACCCCTAGGTTAGGGGTTCTGGAGTTAAGGTGGGGTTCTTTTGGTCATATAGTGAAAATGCATATATTCTTTTAAAGATTCTTCTCTTTTCCTGTATATTTAGAAGACAAACTAAGTGCATGATTATTATGATAAAGGATACCTATTCCAAAATTATGAAATTCATGGCCCCTTGGTCAGGGGTTCTGGTGTAAGGGTGGGGCTTTATAAAGTGATCATTTAGTGAAAATGTATTGATTTTTTTTTGAAATTCTACTCTACCCCTGGGTATAACGTAAACAAACTAATTGCATGGTTATGATAAGCAAGGGTACCTCTTCCAAAATTGTGCAATTCATGGCATATGAGTCAGGGTCCTATTGATCATACATGTATAATGAAAATGCATTATTTCTTTGAAAATCTTCTCTGTTCCTGGGTATTTATCAGATAAACTAATTGCATGTTTATAATAAGCAAGGGTGTCTCTTCAAAAATGTGAAATCCATGGCCCCTGGGTCAGGACTTTTTGTGTTAGGATGGAGCTCTATTGATTTTATATAGTGAAAATGCATTATTTCTTTAAAATCAAAATGCATTAATTAATGTTTTGAAAATGTTCTTTTCTGCTCCTGGGCATCTAGAAGCAAACAGACTACAAAATTATAATGAGCAAAGGTATTTTTACCAGATTTATAAAATCCTGGACCACTCGGTTGAGTGTTCTTGTACTGTGCAGGGTTTTATTTAAATTGAATGAAAATTTGTACTCTACTGACAGATGTTATTCCTCTTTGCTGTCACCTATGATAATAAATCACAGTAAATGATATAACTGATTGGTGAGTTGATTATACAAGAAGTTTTAATGTATAATACAAAAATTACTTTCATATTCACATTGGTTAGATAGACTTGTAAATAAAAGATAAATAAAAATGAGACGAGAATATCTTATCTTTTTAGACTGAATGTTCTTCAAAGACGAAAAGAGGATAATGCCATGTGCACAAGCAAAAAAAAATATTGTTTTGTTTAAGTCTATATGTTGATAGTGACAAACGGGAAAAGGGGGGGGGGGGGGTCAGCGCTGGCAAGTAGAGACAAGTAAATAGATCTTAATATGATTTCTTACTGAGCACTAGACTAACTTTTTTGTTGATCCATAATATATCTTCATCTATCTTTTTGTTTTATTTCATACTTCTAGCTATGGATCTTTTACAGTGCTGTATTACACTCAGGTGACCGCTCAGGCCCTTGGGCCTCTTGTTTTAATTAGTAAGTTATCTTAATTGTTTTGGCAATAAATAGAAAACGGCTTGCCCTAAATATAAGATTTTTCAATATGTCGCAAACTTCTGCAACTGAAACTTAACACCAGTTTGTTTATTAATGTTCCTAGCAATGAAGAAAGATTGTCTGAGCACAATATATCGTCAAGAATCGAGCAATTCTCAGTTTCATTAAATCTGTTAAAAAAAATAACTATAAACAATATCCAATAACATTTAAGTTTATTAGCAAATTTCATTTTATAGAGAAATAAAAAGCAAGACAATGCTTACATAACTGCATTGGGTAACATGCAGTCTCTTTAAGAGTCCAAAGCTCCAGGCACTTGATCGTGAGGTATATTTTTCATTGAAACCTACTTTATTACATCGAGTCATAAGCAAGAATTGTGTCAAATATGAACCAAAAAGACAAATCTTCAAAAAGATGCTGAAAAATTAGATACTGATTTACATTTACATGTATCTAGCCCTGACCTAAAAAAAAAAAAAATTACGTGGGTCTTAGTCACATCAGATCAGAAGCAAGATCTGTGAGAAATATTAATATATGAAGGACATCTACTTTCAATGGACAGAAAGACAGCAACTACATATTCTCCGGGAAATAGAAGTCAATGAAACATAGAAAAGTTTGCACTTAAATATATACATACATATGTGTTTGTGTGCTTTATATGCATGATTCTTAGATACCCTTTCTTGTTAAATGGCCAATTTCAGTTTCAGTAATAAAAAAAATACAATCATGTAAACTTTAGCAAATTAAGTTAATCTTCAAGAGAACTATATCGACAGCTCGTCCTGCGAAGCAGATACAGCATAGTGAACAAAACGGAGATCCATGGCGAGAAGCTGTTCATTCAACATTTTTACCTAAGTCAGCGCTAGTATAAGCGGCGGGCTAGGGTTATGTACAATCAATTGATGTTGGATTTCCGATTATCGTGGATAAATTAAATCCATATACACGACACTGGTGTCCTGAGACCGGTGTAATAACATGATACGGGATGTTGGAATTCTAAAGGTAACTCTCTCTCTCTCTCTCTCTCTGATTTCCTGTTTGTAATAGAATGAATATCTGATTTTGTCCACCTTTTACCATTACTTTTCTGTGATATATGCTGTAATTAGTTTGTATATTATTGCATAGACTGTGTTCTACTTTTTTCATTTATTGTATGTATTGTACTCTGCTACATGGAAAAAAGAAACCCCTGCATTTGAGAAAAATAACTTTAATGGGCTCTACGAACTGTTTAATGCAGGAATCTAAGATTTTAATAAATCTTTATTTTGGCACTGTGTATTCATAAAAGAAAGAGAGAAAAACAATTTCTTAGTTAATTATAAGGTACATCAGAAGGATTCCATAATATATTATCTTTTCCCCCTCAGATATGACAGGACTGATCTTGAGGTTGTTGAAAAACTTAATTAGTGATTCTGTCCATAAGAATGTCACAGGTATACAGGACTTAAAATCTATAATTGTAACACCCACACGTTAATGAATTATGTGTCCTTAGTTAGGCCATTTGCGTCCTTATATATCTTGGGAGGTTTACATTGACGTTAGTATATATAACAAATATAGCATTAATAAATTATGAGATTGAACGAAGTGTGTAAACAAAACTCTCTCTCTCTCTCTCTCTCTCTCTCTGTATGTGTGTATGTATATATATACAACCTTCTAACAGCTGGATAGGTTTAATTAACACAATTTCCCACATCTTTTTGAAATTACAGGCTTCCAGTATTTCGATCTAAATGGTCGGGTTTAAGTGGACGTCCTTCAGTGATTTTCTGTAGTAAACGTTCATGTCCGAGCTCGCAAATTTTTGCTAAATGGGGACAAAAATGGTCTCGACAAAACAAATTAATGTGCCTTGGGCCAGCAAAGTGGGATTAATTCTTAACAAATCTCATATTTAACAAAACAAATCTAAACATCCCACAAAAATTTGACCTTGCAAATATTCTAGGAACTGTACTATCATCACTGATTTGATGATTCACTGCTTGAAGATAAACAACTATATATTAAGAAAACAATTCATTTTATACATGTATTTAGTAATGTTCTGTATTGCTAGGCTATCAAAGCACAGTTTTTCAACTTCCAAACAAAGGAAAAAATGATTAAGTGAATGTGTGTGCACCCCCTCCCTCCAGGAATTTATACCAAGGTCAATTGCTGCAGGTGAAAAAAAAAATGCCGAAATTAACAATGATGTATGTAATGCAGTACAATAATTATATACAGATGTTAAAATATCTGTAAATTAAATGTATAAATTTTCTCTACTGTAGTTGTATTAAACCTTTTATTAAGAGACAGTCTATTTTTTAAAGTAATATGAGCTGCAACTTTTATGTCCGAAATTTTTGTGGCAAAATTATAATTAACAATTTCAATGACAGAAAAAAAGAACATTTATAAACTTCTGTTGTTCATATTTGCGATGGAAGAACTATTTAGAAGTTTTGATTGAAGCAAAATTACATTATTGTCGTCCTGTACAATATTAATTTCTTATATAATACTTTACATTCCATTGTACAGAAACCTTTCTTCTGAAAAAATTAATACTTTATTTTAGTCTAATTGATGATAAAAGTTTAAATTACATACAGAATTATTATAACAGCACATTGTAACAGCAAAATAAAATTCTCAAAAATGCAGCTCACATTGCTTTAAATATATATATATATATATATATATATATATATATATATATATATATATATATATATATATATATATATATATATATATATATATATATATATATATATTTCAAATGACATCATACTGCGTGAATTATTGTGTAAGCTTAAATAAATTTGACAGTATAAACAACAGCTTAATAATTCATTTGTTGCATATATTAGAGGTTTATCCTAGAAATAATCCAATAATCCATAGCACCTTCATAAAGGCAATTAATACCTATTCATCTACTTTAAAAAATTCAATCGAGCACGATAGTTCAGGTGTTAAAATGGGACAGTAAGAAATAAAATGGTTATTAATTTATTAATATTTATCAGTGCCAAAATTGTAAAAACAGTACATTCAGACCACTTGTTTACATTAAAGACTGAGGAAGAGGGGACAGTTCAGCATTTCTCTTCCTGGACTTGTCAAGCACCGGAGTGTATAATACAGTGGAAGTACAACAGATTAAATTACACCCTGTGTGTTTTGTTTTGATATTTTGGTAGGTCGGATATCCTTAGTTTAACTACAAGGAAACTGAAGATTTTTTGTAAAAATGAATCTTTCAAACTGGACACATTTAGACTTTGCTGAGCAGCAAAATAACGAATCGCATACTAGAATGGCGTCTATGGTGGTCCCATCAGTGATGTTTACAGCAGGGGTACTTGGAAACAGTTTAGCTCTTCTGGTGTTGTATAGTTCCCGCAAAGAACAAAAGCAATCCGTATTCTATCGCCTTGTAGGAGCTCTAGCAATCACAGACCTGTTTGGAACGTGTGCCACTTCGCCCGTTATTTTGTTAGTATACGCCAATGGACTGAAATGGCAGGGTGGACAACCGTTGTGCAATTATGCTTCGTTCATGATGATATTTGCAGGACTATCAACTATGTTCATCTTGGCAGCCATGGCATTTGACAGATACCTAGCCCTAAATCGTCCGTATTTCTACAGTTCTCATGTAAATCCTACCCGAGTCAAGTACATATTCCTCATTTTACTGACCGCCGCCCTGATCATGGGTTGTCTCCCTCTGATTGGGGTCGGGGATAATGTTCATCATTTCCCGGGAACGTGGTGTTTCTTTGACTATTATGGGTCAACAGTACGTGTGAAGTCGTTCGCCATTCTTTACAGTTTGTTAGGACTTACTGTCCTCACCATTATTATTATACTGAACTTTGTGGTTCTCAAAACTGTCTGGTCACTTCATCGTAAGGCATGCGAGATTCAGATGGTGGTCTTTTTGATTGGGATTCTAACCGTCATTTGTGTGTGCTGGGCGCCGCTTATGGTAAGAACTTAATCTTCATTTTGACGAAATTTTATTTTAACATTGGAAATAATGAAATTGATAAAAAAAGTTTTGATAGCATCATATAAAATAATTAATGACATTAATGTGGTCAATTTTCTACACCATATTGGTAAATTGCTAGTACATATGTACTTTTATATTAACACATGGTATATGATCATTGGAAGGGTCATAATTTTAACTGACATTTAACTTGCCATTAATTAATGCATCTGTCGGCTTCTACACAATTAATTGAACAGTGCATTCTTATTGTTTCAGTGCTTATAATTGCATTTAGAGTTGTATTACATATGTAGAAAACAACGTGGTATTAGTTTGACAATGTATAATATGCTATTATGGTTTCCAAAATTTTAGTTTTCGAAGAGTTCGACCATCTCGTCTGTTTGCGTCATGATTGTTTTGAAAATTTCAAATGTAGAACAAAAAGGATTATTACATTTGAACTTATTAATGATATTTGCTTAAAATATTATTAAACAGAGGTCATTAACATACAAAAGGTTGTCCAGACTGAATATGAATAATTGTTTCGAAGGAAGTGAAAATTTTGATTTTTTTTAAAGGAAAGTTATTTATCGAAGCAAAATGCCATGATGTCATTTATAACATTTCTTATTCCTCTCACATTATGCGTTAAATTGTAAAAGTCCTCTTTTTCTCTTTGCGATTGTGCTTAAAGTGGAAAACAAATTGGTCAGTATAACGACTGATTTATTTATTGTTGATTCTGTCAAGATGCAATGTAATTTTTGATCAAATTAATATCGTATGGTGTTTTGAATGGAAGCCCCCTCGTTTAGATTTGAATAGAAAATTCAGATGTACCGATTATCTACAAATTAAGTTACCATGACATATATACTAACGTCATCCACAGACGGATGTTGAATGATTGCATGATATGACTTGATCATTATGTTATAATTAATTATTATTATTTTAAATAACAGATTCGAGTGTTTTTAATACAGACGGGCTTCAAAGAAAAGGATGTCATCCAGGACCTAATTTTCATCCGAATGGCTTCATTTAATCAAATATTGGACCCATGGGTGTATATTTTATTCCGTAAAACTTTATTCACGAGACTAGTTCAATTTATCAAAGTTCATTTATGTTTACCGAAAAAACAATTTGATTCCAAACGGCCAAGCATGCAAGATTCAGAAGAGATAAAGCGGTTGAAGCAAACAGACGTAGAACAGTACTGCAGGGAGGCAAATGACCCATATTGCTATGAATCCACGGGGAGGGTACCTACCTGTGAGGATTGCTGAGGTTCGGGAATCAAGCGTTGACACTTATTGCTCTAGAGCATAAAACGGGGACGTGCATGTTTTTGCACTGAAAGCTCAGGAAGTCGGAACGTTGTCCACCACACATGTGTTCATGAGTGACATTTCAAAAATTGGCAGAAAAACATTTGATTTAATGTAAAACAATTCCAAAAAGTAAATAGATAAATCATACAAAAAAAATGAAATAACAGGAAATATTTATGGATTTTGTAGTAATTTGCCGAGGGGTTGCCCTCTAGTCTCTTGTACTCGGTATCATCGGATCCTCCGTGACATAAAGAATAACGTTAATTGTTTACTGAGCAACAGATTGTCATTTCGCTATCAGTCATTCATCATCGGCAGGATTTGAATTATGTAATGTTATAGGCACAGCGGATGACTGATTGGACTGCTGAGACATAACACAAGCAATCCATACTGAGCGATCAAAGTCATAGGGAACCGGGACGGGGGCAGCGACAGGTTGGACACAAGTCAATATTAATTTTCTATCATACATTTCCATATACTGTAGTGTTTAAATGTTCCACGATGGCATCATATAGGTAGCTGTACTGTTCCTGGAAATTTAATAATGCAAATAAGTAAACAAATATATCAACGTAAGTAGATTTTGGTTGAAAAGAGAATCGATTTGGATATCTTTTTGATGAATTACGTGTGCTTACTATGCTTCCAATGAACTGTGGTCGTCGAATGTGGATTTTACGCACAGTGTGGAAAACGTCGACCTTTCCCTCTATGTTTAGACGGTCCAGGATAAGGCTTAGAGCGCAATACAGACCGCTGCATTTGGCACCATCCCTAAAAAACAGAGGGAATTCTTAATTAAAACATTATTATTAAAAGTTGGAATAAAATCAAAAATGAAATTTCTATTCCAATGTTCTTCAATTAATTTATTTAGTATAATTAACTTTACAAAATCATGTATCATTGTATCATGCATCATACAGAACTGATCGTCTATCTACCTTTATTGATGCTGGTACATCATTAAAAGTAAATGCTTCTTTTTTTAACACTTGAAAAGGGTTACACGTTTGATTCGGCATGGATTTAACAATATTTTGTTAAAACAATATTAATGTAATCAATCATCATAATGATGGCCACTGACTGAAGATCAGCACAGTAAGATCAGTACACAATGTAATTGCTACCTAAAACATTGTTTGTCGCAAATGGCAATGATTAAAAATTGGTAATAATGGACCTCAAGATTCCAAAGATACTTAGACTTTGTAAATCAATGGAGTTCTTACTTGCACATGACCAGTACACGACTCGTGGACACTACCGTCTGCTGAACTTCCCTGGCGACCGAAAGTATCGTCTGCAAAGATTGTGGAGTTTCCCGCTCCGCCGACCAGTCGCTCAAGTGAAAGGAAGTCACTCCTCTTGTTTCTCCTGACCCCTTTATCAGAAAGGGAACACCATTAATTTATTATAATTTTACCAACAACCCGTTTTGGATTAATGAGACTTTGTACTATCTTAAGTATCATAGACAGAATCAGGCCCTAGCTTAGGAAGCAAATAAGAGGGGGGAGGGGGGACGAACAAAAGATATTTGATAAGGACAAAAGGAGAGTGGCTGTTATTATTGAGGGGGGTGGGGTTGCTAAATCATTTGCACATCAATTTACAGCTTATTTAAGTTTAATAGATTGCACATTGAATTCTCTTTAAATAATATTGCTATTATCTGGGAAAAAATCAACATGCAACATTACACATTGCCAAAATTAAAAAAACATGAAGGTCACATACATGTACTACGTTCTATGATATGTTGCAAATTTTGAATTTATAGGATGGAGATAAACACAAAACTCAACATATGGTAATCCATTAAATCGAATCAATCAGTCAAAATTTACAATATGATGGATATGTACCATTATGAAGCAAAGGATCCTTTCCGGGAAAGATAATCAAATGTTCATACATTATTGATAAGCAAAGATATGTTGTCATATTATCCACTTACAATACCCTCAACAATGTAACTCTATGCACTTAATGTTTATTGATACTAACCCAAGGACCATAAAGATTGTTTACTGTATAACATCACATCGATTAAAATTTGTCAATGTATTAAATACGATGTTGGACACAACTTTATGTATTTGTCAATATAGGAAATGTTGATCAAAGGACAGTTATGTCTTGTAGAGTTCGTTACGCAAAACCCATATCAAAGTTTAAGAAGAATACAGTAGGCATCTACTGAACGGTTTCAAAGGGGGGGGGGGCTTCCTAAAATAATCTGACAAGCAAAAAAAAAAAAACTAATTAACTGTCCAAATCCTGAAATTTGCCAGTGCTTGACCTCACAGCGACAAAAAAAAAGGGGGGGGGGTAATCAGCATCTAAAGGAAAATTTATTACAGCAAAATACTCAGAAAAAAAGTGGTTGGGGGGGCACTCCCTCCCCCCGCGTTCTACGGGCCTGGGCCTACATTTCTAATTTGTTCGTTTGCTTTTTGCAGCAGATTAAAAATGCAATTCCCTTTTAAATCGTCATCATTTGGAATTCAATAAAAAGAAAAAAAAGACACCTGTAAGAAACACGCTCATCATACAAATCGGATTTGCGGAACTAAGCTACCTTTTTATATATCTGAACAAATTTAGATGTATAACCCTGGTGTTCCTGCTCTACCGAGGCCATCCGCACAAACAGAGGTCCATAGCAAACCGTCTCCCCTTCTGACGGCCACCAAACCACTGACTCCTAAAATGTGTTAAGAAATTTCGTAAAACTTGTTTAATTTTGAATAAATAATTATGTTTATAATTAAAACAATCCTGCTGGTTGGAACTCTAAATTTCGCGCATAGACCATATTATACACTAAGGTGTGGTGTTAGGAAATTCCCATATTTCGGACCACCAGACTGGTCCTGGCCTACCTCTTTCTGGTTGTCTGGGGAGTTGAGGGACACGATGACGTCAACATCGTGGTCATACACAAGACGCCAAAGATCGACCACTGTGTCCGGTAGGGGGCTCTGTGTAACAATATAATCCATGCTAGGCCTCAAAGACTGGAAAATAATTATTTTATTTATTAAAAGATCCCGTTCCATTTCTATTATTATGTAAGCACATTTAGACAATGTGTTTCTTCTCCTATTCGTCTACTCTCTTTGTTTTTCATTATGAAAAGAAATAACTCTAAAGAACTTGTTACATAATTACATAATACAGAAACAATACAAGAGGGTAGGAGCAAGCTGATTGTTATCCTGTTTCCCCAAACTCATTATACCAAGAATTCCCAGGATTCTAGTTTTTACAAGTTTTGATAAACATAAGTGCTGTAATCATTCAAACAATGTGATCACATCATAGGAAATAGCTTCCATTATAATACAAATATTACTCGTCCCAATTGATCTTCATTAGCTTCAGTCAAACGACGCAATCAGCATCCGAGAGGGGGTGCTAAGACTTACTGGAATAATCACGGCATTGATGTAATCACTCGTCCCGGGAACGTATGTGTTCAAATAAGGTCGAAATTGATCCACTGCAATTAAAACAAATAGGCATGATGGCACATGGTCTCATTTAAGCCCCATTAGATGGAAATGAGCGTGGAATTGTCCGGTACTTACCGGCAAGGACATCAGACGATTGGTTCTTCATTTGGTTATCGTCCGTTATGGCTGCTGTCCAGTCCATGGACACATATTGAGGTTTACTGTCATTGAGAATCTGAAGAAAGAATGGATAGATACGAGGCTTTAAGCTTCATTCTATTTTCATCTAGGTCTAGCTAGCTCATAGTTCATTTTTATCATTTTTAAGTCTATGTCAATATAAAATTGTGGGCAAAGTATATATGTGATTCACAAAACTTATTGAGAAGAACATTTTACATAATGCTAATGCCAAGACGTCAGATGAAAGTTTACACAGAACTTAAGGAAAACACACAGCTGTTACATCACATTCTCGCTTTTAAAAAAAAGCATTCAGGGTTTAAAATGTTTCTGACAAATGCTGAATAAAAAATTAATGAATCGGATTGGAGTAAAAACATATTGAGTTGTTTAAAAAAACGATTTGGAAGCTTAACGCAAACAAATGATCACGTTTTTCTAACTTTGCGCAATTGACAATGAAAGTAGCGCATTTTGCAATAAGAGATCCGTTCCTTGTGAAAATGGGTCAACCACCTTAATGAAAATTAAAGTGCAAAAAAAAAAACTAATAGCGAGCGCAGCGAGCGAAGCGCCGCTCGTCACTGCGAGCTCTAACGACAACGCCTGGGCGAAGAGAAAATTCGGACTACTGCACATTCATTCAATAGAATTTTTTTCCGCAGTAATTCTGACCCACAATGCATCGCTTCTTGTTCTCGCTGCTAACTTCGTTCACGCAGTGACAACAACTAAAAATTCACACAAAATAAACGCACCTTAATTTAATGGATATTGAATGCAGATAGTAGATTAAACGTTCTTTGTTAAAATATTTGCACTTTTTAAACTTTGTTTATGGAAATGCAGCTAACATACGACGTCCTGTGACGTCACAGTTTAGACGTTCCAAATGTCTCGTGCGGTTTGAAGAGGCGGATCATAATAATGAAGTGAACACTGCGCTCGCCCCAACGGTCGCACCGTCAACATATTAATTTATATGGTAAATCGGTTATGATGGTAAAAAGAACATAACGCTTTTAATTAAAAAAACAATAACTCACTTGGAATTCCTCATACAAGAGGCGGGGTTTTTGTCTGCAAATTTTTCTATAATAGTCCATGAACTCCGACTGTGGCACTGATGTCTCGCGATACGTGAATGCCTCTAGGAGGGCGAAATGTAACAATCTATACTGATCCTAAAACAAAGAAATATTAGAGCTACTGGTATATTAGTTTAAAAAAATATCTATTAACAAAAACTGTCGCATTATTTCTTTTAAGTACTTAAAAACACCAACCACATTTTGTATCATAGACATCCGACATTCTCGCATTCTTTTAACGTAACCCAGAATTTCTACGAACTGGATTTTTAGTCCATGACGATAGAGGGCGTCTAAGGCAATAAAAGTACCCGTACGACCAACGCCTGCGCTACAATGGGAGATAACTTGAATTTATGAAATTT